TTAATCTAATTATGTGTGGTGTGGATAACTGTCTGCCACTAAAAGACAAATGCCGAGGTAAAGTATTTATCAAAAATACTGTAAGCGCAGAGGTGAAGCTGAGACATTTGTTGTTAAAGAGCTAGACAGTAATCTGGTCACAGTGTATAATTCCATTAACATTATTCCTATTATACCAAATAATTTAGTTAAAATAAATGAAAGCCATTCTGCAGACATATGATGGCAGTGGAAGAGCTGACCCCAAGGAAGGCAATTCCATTTCAAAAGACAAAGCGGGCACATTGATTCTATCTAATATCTTTTTTTCTTTATTTTTTTAATCTTTGGAAGGGAATTTTCCCCCCTCTGATCTTTGCTGCCTTGTGTCACATGGACCATCCAGAGGGCATGGATGAGGCACCCTTTGGAACCCATTAAGGCCTCTCTGGGTTTAGCCACATGGATCACTCAAGGAGCAAGAACCTGGGATCAAGAATTATAAAATAAGATTTTGTAATTCATATGAGAATGGGGCCTAGAGGCCACTACCAAGATTGTGCTAGGCACTATACATACACATGGTAAGAGACAGTCTCTGCCCTTAATAGCTTTAATTTCAAAAGATAAAAGAGTTTTATTAGCCTGCTATCCATGTGGGACCTGAGATTAAGAGACTTGCCCAAGGTTACACCCACAGGCTGTGGCAGAGGTGGAAACTGAAGGCAGATCTTTTGAACCCTACCTCAGTGCCTTATGTCTACACTGCAAAGAGAAACCCACAACGCTGAGTCTCTATTGACTTGGACTCGCAGTGCAGGCATTCAGGCTTGGGGTGGAGCTTGGGCTCTGAAACCCAGCAAGAGGGGACGGTCTCCATGCCGAGGCTCCAGCCTTAGAGGGATTGTCTGCTCTGCTATTTTCAGCCTGCAGCCCGAGCCGTGCGAGCAGTGGTCAATTGACCCAGGCTCTGAGACTTGGAGCACCAGTGTTTCTTTGCAGTGTAGACGTATCCTAAACCACAAGGCCATCCTTCCTTACAACCAGCCTCAGCTCTCCAAAGCAGCCCTGAAAACAACTGAGAAAGCCTTTGAGTTCCTCCCCATGCTGTATCTGAGAAGATGCATTTTGATTGGTTCACAAGCTGAATAGCTACATACTTCTGCCAATCAATAAAGAACTTTATCAGAAGTAGAATTCACTTTTTTTTTTAATGTAATCTATTTCTCAGAGTAAACTGGCTTCAGGCTGGCCAATGTGTGTGAGCTTTAAAAAGCATATCAATAAATAAGCCAATGAGCTTATTTGTTTCATTTTGGTACAATCAGGTAACTCTTTCCTGACCCTTCTCTAGATTTGTGGCAGCATAAAAATGCCCAAATATTTACTGCTAGTCAGTCGTCCTGATACCACAGAACTGCCCAATAGACAAGTGAAAGAAAGAGCTGATGCACAAACATCTCCTGTGATATTACACTCCTGCTATGGGGCATATTTCTTTAAAATCAATCATCTTTTAGGCATGCATGGCAGCATTATGTGCATTGCTTTTACAGGGCAATCTTCTCTTGCAGACTTTTACAGCCCTCTCTGCTTATTCTGAACTATAGGCAGATAGAAATGGAGATAAATATCTAGCTATCCAGATCTATATAAGCTGTCTGTCTCTAGACAGACATCTTATATGAGTCTAGATAGCTAGATATATAGCTTGCTTTTATACTGAGCCTCTCACCCCAAAATATTTCAAAAGCTCTTTACAAAGCATAAATACTGCAGAGTGGGACCATTTCAGTCAACAGTGAAATGCAGCCACCATTGGTGTGGAACGGGGTAGCCATTTAACAGAGCCCAGGAACACCATGCAACAATTTAGGTCAGAAAGTGAAGGAGCTACACCATAGCCCATTGACACTGCAGGGAATGCGAGAATGTACAAACTACATGCAGCATGTATGCTCTGATTTGATGTCTGCTCTTGGATTGCCATGCAGATCTGTGTAGCACAGGAGAATTTTTGCATGGCTATAGACAGTGCCTCCCTTCAAGCCAAATTAAGGTTGCCAATTTTGGTTGGATGTATCCCTGGATGTGATGTGATGGTTTCATCACACGACATAATCTTTAACGATTAATCTTTGATTCCTGGAGACTCGACAACCCTAAGCTAAATACCTGGGTATACCATCCAATCTTGCTTCTACTGGCAGTAATGAGCCCCATGATCTTGATGTGTAAGCTCTGTACTGATGTCACTCTTCTTTGCTGTCGCTTTTCTCTCTCTCTCTGTTTGCATACTCCATTAGATACCCTGCTGATTGGTTTGGAATCATCATCTGTTAGTATACTCCACCCGAGCAAACTGCATGTCTTTGTTACCTTCTAGTAGCTGGTCCATATAAGAGGATAAGAACCTTATATAGCTGCTGACTAGAGGAGTTACTCCTTTAACTAAAGCTGTAGAGGCTCATGCTCTTAGTCATACTAAACACCAAGACCATGTCTGGGTGGTTATATTAGCACTTATGTGCTCTCTGCTGAATCCTTACAGATTCTTTTGTTTTGAGGTATTACCTGTACCCTGCCTTGTCCCTACTCTTCACAATCCATTGTATCATAGGCAGGGGCTGGTAGCACCACCTATTACTAAAGTTGCCTGACACCTCCCATTAAAAAGACTCGGTTTTCAGTTGCTTATCAATTTGCCAGACTTTGATTGGTTTTTAGGCTGAAATGTTCCATGCTGGGTGTCTGCCTCAGGCTGAATTGTTCTGGAAAATTTGAGCCAAAATGGCTCAACGGTTTCAGAGAACAAGGCTAGGGGAAATGAAATATGTTGTTTTGCTCATGTTAAAAAATCCTGGTGACCTTTCTTCTTTGCAAAGCTCTCGTGCTCTCGTGCATTGGATCAGGGACTTGCAGTTTGGAGAGGGAGGGCAGCGGTTTGTCATCTTCGTGAAAACCATCTAAATTTGGCCACCCAAGTTTCCAGCCTCTGAAAAATTGCAGTTTGCACATGCTCAGTAGAGACTTGTGAGGAATTCTCAGCTTAATTCCCCAGAGACTTTGTCCACAGTGGGACTTTGCCAGCAATTGCAGTTCATGGGTGCTTCAGGCCAAGCGGTGGTGGGGCTGGGCACCTGAACTGAAAGCAGGAAGCCTGTCGCTTCATGTGCCCTCACTGCTTCCCCTCCAGGGCTCAGGCATGGTGCGGGAGGAAGCTGCTTGAACTGAATGTAGAGGGGACAAGAGCCAGACCTGGCAGGGGAAGTACTGTAGATGGGGAGCCAGTGGGGACAGGGAACGTGGGTGTGTGGGTGACGAGAGGCCAGTTCGGGCCAGGAAGAAACGGGGGCGGAGGGTGGGGAGGGGCACGGACGGTGTGTGGGACTTTACGACCTCAGTAATGTTCTCCTCAGGTAGAGTTTGTGTGTGCACTAAGTACGTGTCACCTGACCTAGGCTTTTATGTTAAACTCAATGCAGAGTGATTCACACAGAGCCCGTAACTGCCGGGGAATGTAGGCAGCCGGGTGTTCTTTGCCAGGCTGGAATTACGCCAGGGCATGGGGGTGGCTGCTCCTCTCGCACAACATGCTGGGGAATTGCTAGTGGGAGTGGATGGTCGGGAGCTCAGCTTTGAGCCCCCACAACCACTTTTTAGGAAGACCTTCTTTAGTGTAAAGAATATTTTAGGGTGTCGCTCCTCCCCACACAGCTGACAGTCTACACCTGCCTACTTCTGCGAGTGGAGGGGGCTCATGCCCCACAGATATTGCCAGAGCCTCTCCCGCTCACTGCCGTGGGAGAGCTAGGCCAGGATGTCAGTATGTGAGGGGGCGGGTAATGGGGTGCTGGTTGGACTCTCACAATAACTGTGCCTCACAAACAGGAGCTTGTTCCTGAAGACAGGGTTTGTAATGACCCCCTCCACACAGCCGAGTAGCCCCCCGCACCTCCAGGAGCAGGAAGGCATTGGGGAGCACCTGGCTCCTGCCATGGCTCTGATGCCAATGGGTGGCAGAGCACAGCAAAGTGCTTCTGCCGAGCACTTCTATGCCACCAGTGCTGCCCTGGAGAGCCATGGGATTACAGCCCAGACTCTTCCATTGGGATGGGCCTGGGAGGGGGGACCCCCGACGGGACCTCTGGGAGGGGAAACTTGCGACATGCCCATTCCCCACCAGGGATGAGGCATGTAGGGGAGCACCAGAGTAGGCGGCCTTGTTCATCTCATGCCACAGGTGTCCCTGGCACTGGGCAAAAGCAATAGAGCCCCACCCCAAAGACGTTAGAGCCTAGAGGTGCCCGTCCGGTACGAAGCAAGCCTTGTGGTGGCTGTGCTGTCTCTGGGGGCGGCAGGGGGACGTGGTCAGCGAGGCTGGTCTGGGGAGGCTGAAGGCAGGGAGTTTTAAGGGGGGGCTTTGAGGAAGGGAAGGGGCAGTTGGTGCACGGGAAGCTGCCCCAAGGACGGGGGGCAGTGTGAGAGAAGGCTGGAAGCCGAGAGTGGGGGGAGGAGGCAAGGGGAGAGACTACGGAGAGGGGGCAGGAAGGCATGGGAGCTGAGGCGAGGCAGGGTGAAGCTGCTCAGGGCCTCGAGGGGGTGGATGAGGCGAACAGCCTGGACAAGGAAGGGGAGCAGAAGCCACTGAAGGGATATCTCCCGCTATATCTGTGCAGAGCTTAGCACAGTGGGGCCCCCATCTCGGCTGGGGTCTCGAGGCACTGCTGAGGTGTAACACTGTTCAGCACAAGCGTGTGTAGAGCTGGAGCGATGGGAGAGCAGGGGGCTGGGTGAGCACACAGTGTTTGCACCCCGAAGGGACTGGGACACCAGGTGGGCCTAGCTCCCTGAACGCAAATCTCTAACTCGGTGACTGGCTCCCTCTCTTTCCACGGAGCAGGGAGATACAGGCCTCCGAGGCTCTCTCGCGCCTTTTCCTTTCTCCAAATGGGGCTGTCCTCACTGACCCTGCTCTTCTCCTCTCTCTCTCCCCTCCCCCCCAACTGCTGCCTCGTCAGAGATTCCCCAGTGCGCCGGCTGCAACCAGCACATCCTGGATAAATTCATCCTGAAAGTCCTCGACAGGCATTGGCACAGCTCCTGCCTCAAGTGCGCAGACTGCCAGATGCAGCTGGCGGACAGGTGCTTCTCCAGAGCCGGGAGCGTCTACTGTAAGGAAGACTTCTTCAAGTAAGTGCAGCCGTCTCCTTTGTGTTGGGAGGGCCGAGTGGCAGTGGCCTGGGTGTTTTCTGACAGCTCACACCAGGCTGTGGAGAAAGCTCCCCCTTGCACAGGAGACCTTGCTCCGGAAACTCCCTGCCAGTGCTTGCCAAAGGTTTTAGGATTAAGAGCCCTGCTCTCAGGAGCACACCAGGGTCCTAACAATCCTCCCAAGCTGTTTTTTGTTAGAAATAAATCCCTTTCTAACTTAATGTTTCTCCTAATCGAATCCCAACCTGTCCCTGCAGCTGCTTTGACACAGTTTAGGGTTAGTGAAAACCAGGACATGGCTGCTTTGGCCTCCCCTCCTGGGATCAACTCAGAGGAACTCAATTGCCCAGATCACAGAAGATGTCAGCTTGGGGAGCCCCCGGTTACCACCCTCATGCCTCTCATTCTGGGTTTCATCAGAAGGGGAACCATTTGGCCTCCCAGACAGACTGGCTGCGTGGGGGTACAGCCCATGATGAGGTTGGTGGAAATGGAGAGAGAAAGGAAAACAGAGGGTGATCATGGAAAGACAGGCATGACGTTCCATAAACAGGCACTGGTGCAGATGGACATGGAAACAACTGGACAAATTTTAGTATAATTTCTCCAAAATCTTCTTATATATATTTTAAGCCCAAGTGTTTAAATAAAGGGAATTTTGCTGCTTTAGAACTGCCACAGGCTGAATGCTATTTGTGGGGATTTAACCTTCTTAGAGACCCAAATCTCTCTAATACTCCTCTCCCCCAACATCCTCCCTCCCTCTCTCCCTATTACATTTTTAAGCCCAAATTGGACTAAGGATTCGGCTTGTTAATCACCCTTCCTGCATCAAGCACATCTGTTCAGATCAGAGCTAGAGGGCAGGAGAAACCCACACAAAGACAAAGACTCCAGATCCCTGCTGCTTTTCAAGATCTACTCTCTTTGTGGGTTGTTATTTTGTTTTTGCTGCCTTCATCTTTTGTTGCTTTCCCTGATTATCCATATTTTTTTCCTAGTAGGGTAAAAGTCTTATTTAATTCACACTTGGGCCATTTGCAATCTGTGTACCTGCCTCTAAACCAGTGACTCTCAACCTTTCCAGACAACTGTACCCCTTTCAGGAGTCTGATTTGTCTTGCATACCCCGAGGTTTCACCTCATTTAAAAACTATTTCCTTATGAAAATCAGACATAAAAACACCAAAGTGTCACAGCACACCATACTGAAAAATTGCTGACTTTCTCCTTTTTACCATATAATATAAATCAATTGGAATATAAATTTTGTACTTACATTTGAGCGTATAGAGCAGTATAAACAAGTCATTGTATGAAATTTTAGTTTGTACTGATTTTGCTAGTGCTTTTTCTATAGCCTGTTGTAAAACTAGGCAAATATCTAGATGAGTTGATGTACCCCCTGGAAGACCTTTGCATACCCTCCGGGGTACATGTACCCCTGGTTGAGAACCATTGCTCTAAACTATCTGATGTACAAACCTGGACTGTCCATGGCTCCGCTGTGAAAGAGCATTATTCTTGCAATGAAAATTGGACTTTTAGCAGTACATTTTATCCAAAATGCAGTCATTTTATAAAGCACAGTTAATATCTGTATCTGTATCGGGCCAGATCCTCTGCTGATTAAACTGGTGTAACTCTACTGATGTCAAGAGTGCGATGCTGATTTACATCAGCTAAAGATCTGGCAAGGTACGTAAGAGCCAGATCCTTGGTTAGTGGAAATTGATGTAGCTCACTGAAGACAAGGAAGTGATGCTGATTTACACCAGGAGGGGATCTGGCCCAAGATGTCTTTTGGTGGCTGAGAAGAAAAGGAATGAACAAGGTGCATTTGGAGTATGTTGGATATGATAGCAGAGCCATCAGACCTAAGACATATGGCATGTTTATGCAAGGAGGCACAAAGACAATGTAATGCAAATGGCTTCCTCTCAGAGAGCTCCATATTCATTGCTGCCCATTACTGTGCTCCGTTCTACCTGGGCTCCAGATCTGAGCGTTCCATGGCATCTGACACCGTGATATCGTTTCCCCACTTGTAAAAGAGTCCCAGGCCACGATGTTCTTTGCCGGCTCATGCCTAAGGTATTTATAAAGATCCCCCTTCTAAAGTAATCTTGCATCAGGTGCACACAGGGTATCGGTGAGATATCTACACGGTACTAAAGGAGTCTCGGGAGAGAACACAGGACGCAAAGGAGTCAGGAATATTTGATTTGAAAAATGTTGCAAAATTCAAGCATGGTCCCGTGCATTCTTTACCCAACTCTTTCAGGTGGGAGAATAATGAAACCAATATTTGTCTAGCAACTCATCCCCCAAATATGGTGACATTTCTCTGATGAATTGTGAAGTGAACAGTATCCCTCCAGCTGTAATCCCAGGTCAGGATTTCCCCTGTCCCCCAACCCCTGGTAAATGGGGTGCAGAGTCTACTGTCTCGCTTTCTTTTTGGATTTCCTTCAAGATGGACTTGAGGCCATTCTCAGACTCACCTGGACATCACTAGACACAGGCATTCAGAGACCCCAGTAACCCCACTTGGTTAGATTGGGTAGTTCCGCTATCTCTGTGCACAGTTTTGCCGATATTGCTAGTTCCATGCCAGGCACCCCACGGCTGCTCTTCGCAGGAGGATGGCACAACAAAGGCACCTAGAAGGTTCAATCCAGGAGGCATTGGTGGTTCTTGGCCTGGGAGGAGTCAGTCCCAAAAGGCTTGGGGGAGCAGGATGAGGCAGGTGGAGAGCACCCTCTGCTGCACCTCTCGAGGAGGTGCTGCTCATATTCCCTTGTACCATTTGTCCCAGTGGCTACAGTAGATCTAGCTGAGCTTGGAAGGTGGCCATCTTTAATGGCTGTTGTCATGGCGCTGGCCATTATGAAGGAATGCAGGGTGGCACCGTCTCCTCCTGAGGTGGGGACAGGATGTGTGGCCACGGGATGAAAATGGGGGCAAGAGGGGAAATTGATCCAAAAGGCGATCTTGGCCTCCAAACAGACAGACAGACAGACCAGCATGTGCAGGGATTGGGTGAGAGTTGGTTAGGAGCTCCCCACTCTTTACCAGGATGGAGACTCAATGAATGAGGGTGAAATCAGTGATGCAATTTTCTGAGTTTTAGAAGAAGTTCAGCCATCCCCACGGAGATTTAATGCAACTTCTCAGAGGGGAGAGGGCATTAAGCGACTCAGCGTGGCCTCTTTCTTCCCCTCCCTCCTGCAGGAGAAGTTGTGGTGGGGGAGGGCACAGATCTTCCTATAGAGGAGAGGCAGGGAATAGGAGAGGAAGACTGGTTCCCTCCCCCAATGCAGCATAGCAAGGGATGTCATCCTATTTGTATTGTGTGTTGATAGTGTAACAAGCTCAGAGCAGCTCCTGGTGGCCTTGACTATTAACTAGGCTGCTTAGCCTAGATCCCTGATCTCATGGGACTAGCATGCTGGTGTCGATATGTAGGAAAGTGAGAAAGCAGAGCAGAGGCCTGGGCATCAGGTGTCCTGAGTTCTAGTCCCGATTGTGCCTGTGTGGGCAATTCACTTAACTTCTCTGTGTCTCCATTTACCCTACCTGTAGAATGGGGATAAAAAAACCTGCTTGTATCTTAAAGTTGAATTAATAATACTTAGCTCTTGTAGCCTGGTGCTCTTGAATCTGTGAGGTGGTTCACGAGCTGTATGGTATTTATTGTCACCACACCCCTGTGCGGCAGGGCAGTGCTAGTATCCCCATTATACTGCTGGGGAGCTGAGACATAAAGAGGTTAAGTGACCTGCCCAAAGTCAACCAGGAAGTCTGCGGCAGAACAGGGAATTTCTCCCCACGTCCTGGGTCAGACCCTAACCACTGAACCATCCTTCTCAAGTGGTTAATATCTACAATGCACTTGGCATTCCTTGGAAGGAAGATGCCATAGAGATGCTAAGTATAAGCAATAGTACCTTTCAGCCGGGCTCCTAAAGCTCCATTGTGCTAGGATAACACAATGCGCCAGACCCTCCTGGTGAGTGGTTCAGTTGTGTTCAGTTTTGCATCTGGGTGGCAAGGCTGTTTCACAGTGGCTGTGTGTCTCATACATGGGTGTGTAAACATAGCCTGTAGGACAGCTGGATTTGCTATCAGTGTTCAGTCACCATCATCATGGTTGTCTGTTTCAGTGGCAGGAACTGGAGTGATTTTGGTTTGTTACAGGTGTTGCCTGCCCCAAAGAGCTCACACTAGAGCACTCCAGGTGGACAAAACAGGTGAGAGAGGGGAAGACATGGAGGACGCAATGGCAGTAAACAAATTCAGTGTGTGTGTTAGTTGTGACTCACCACATGCCCACTGTTGGCAATGTCCTAATCTACCTTCTGCTTGTGCCTGATAACTGTCTCCTAATTTCTGATAACCCTTTGGCCAGGGGTAATAATAACAGTCCCCTGGCACTTGATATCAGTGTCTTGGTTCTCTTACCCTTCACTCTTTGTACTGTCAGGCCCTGTATTTCATCCCTTGTTATATTTCTGTAGGGCAATTGGGCCAATGTGGATCTTTTTTCCTTTTCAGTCAGTCTTTAAAGCAAGTTTTTCACTCCCTGCAAACACCTCTCTGCTAATCTACTGGACTGCAGATAGTGCATACTGGTTTGGGTGTGCATTAGTTATGTGTATTACAGTAGTACCTGGAGGCCCCAGCTAAGTTCAGGACTCCGTTGTGCTAGGAGCTGTACAAACACATAGTGAGAGACAGACCCTGCCCCCAAGAGTTTACATGCTAAACAGACAAGACAGACAGAGGGAGGGAGGGGAAAGACAGATGGCTTGCCCTGGATCGCCCAGCAGGTCAGTGGCAGAGGTGGGAACAAAAAGCAGCTTTCCTGAGTTCCAGTTCTGGGCTCTCTCCACCTTTGCCTTGGTAAGCTAATCCTTCAGCACAGAAATGACTTTTATTCCTAGCTTTGCAACAGACTGACTGAATGCTTTGTTCCA